ATCAAGAAGAGATTGCTTGAACACATTTAAAAGGCATCTGATGCAGTGATTTGAAGGCAGAAATTCCATTTTAGCCTTAGTCACATTTTTTCATGTCTAAAAAAGTCAAATTTACCTTTAGTAATACTGCCTCAATGAAAAGCACAAAATTGATACCCTTTTGACATAGTGTTCACAACACTGCCATCTTCTCATGTGAAGATAAGACATCTTATTCACAGCAGTTAGTGACAATCTAACCACAAGGAAACAGGAAAATATCTTTACATTTCAGGCTCTACCTCTATGTTTTTCAATACAAGCTAACCCACACAGGGCCATAGGGGTCATATGGTAATATAATTTACTAAGTTTTCACTGATATTTACTCATTGAACAGTGAAGCTTTAATTTGGATTTTTGTTTAAAATCAATTACTATATCAAAATATGTAATACCTAATTTTATTAATTTCCACACTTATATGGAACTTTTAATGTAAATCATTGCTATCTCATTTTTATATTAGTAATTTTTTCCTTTTTCAATATGTTTTGTATAAAGTTACAGAGCCTTTACAACTAAGCAACACCAAGATTTTCTTAGTGCCAGATATCCCATACATCTCATGTCCAAGTTCACTTTTCACACAGTATGTACACGTACATCTGAAGAAGCAGAGCTTTCTCAATTTCTTTTGCCAAACAAAATAATGAATTAAAATAGTCTAAAAACTACACCACAATTCCCAAACTCCTCGACTATATATTAAGTTGGAGACAAAGCTTACTTTGCATGAAGAGGACATGACACTCACTTGCTACATTGTTGTAAAGTACACTGATGAATAAATTAAAATAACTTGTCTTGACAACTTTTTAACCCTTTTAAAATAATTGAAATAAGTAAGCACATGACAGACATGGTGCACTGAAGATCAAACTGATATTGAGCATGAAAACTTTACCCACTGTATCAGGAATTTTAATATCAAAGTGACATGGCCTGTTTTCATGATGAGGTAGGTGAGGTAACCTACCAAGGTGAGGAAACCTGCCTAGGTGGGCCACCCCACCCAAGTTGCCCATGTCTGGCAGGAAAGCTAACCCTATCAGCTAGGGTCCCAATTTGCCATGCAAATGTCTCCAGGTGGGGTAACTGCCTAGCTATGCACCAACAGCCTCTAGAAACCACCTTGAGATTCCAGGGTTGAAAGATTACCTGTATATGTAGACACGGGCTATTTTCTGACCACAGCTGGGCAGGTTACCTCACCTACCTGGGGTTCCCAACCTTTAATTCTAAAAACAACCCAAAAGATAAAGTATATTCTGACTATTACATTCTCCACTCCACTGTTTCAATTCAAATTGAAAACAACCATCTGATGCTTACTTCCTGGGAGAAAATATCAAGTAGACTTGTCCATAATACCACGGGTATATATGTGCAATACCAATACAGCATTAACCTCCTTCATCTAAGCATTTTTAACATAAATTGATTCCAGTTTAAGAGCTCCATAACCAATAAAATATCATGTTCTTCTTACTTATAAATATCACTCTGTTTTGAACTAAGATTGAAACAGGGAAAACTGTCTGCTTGCCTGCCATGAGGTAAATTTTTTTAATATTATATACATTACAAACTAAGGTTTGTTCAATACTGACCTGCAGTATTAACTTATATACAAAAGGTTAAAGTTACTGTTAAGGTTCCACTTCAGTGTGTTGGTAAAACAGTCTGGAATGCCGTGTGGATAGCTTTCCTAGACTTCTCACCATTTGTCTTGATTTCGTCCATGTTTTCTGACACAACCTAGGAAGATAAAAACAAGTGTTTTTTCAATTTACATAAAGAAAGAAATTAACAGTAATAAATTATTGTCACAATAAGACCTTCCCATTGATTATGCAATCACATCACAACTGAGCTGAAGACCATTAACTCGCAGGTAGATGACAAGAATTTTGCACCCTGCTCTAATCAACAATGTTTGAAGTATCATGTGTACAAATAAATTAATAAAAAGATGGTAAATTTTGACTCAGATGGTTTAATGTTTTCTTTGTTTCAGACTTGAATAGAGGTAATAGGTGTTTTTACCATTTAACCAAAAGATCTGTAATTTTGGGTGGAAAACTTCTGAGGAAAGGAAATTCAATTTCCACAAAATCATTTTCTACAAAAATCCGCAGTTTTCAGAGTTTTAACTGATGGTACAAAGAATTAAAAAATCATTTCCCTACTTTCTGAAATTCAACTTCCAAGTTCTTCCTCTCCTCTTTATGCTGGTTTTTTAGTTCTTCAAGTTCTCTTTCTTGTCTCTTGGACAACTAGAAAGGAGAACAGATTTAGATATACTGTAAGTTTTAGGTCAAGCCTATATACGCAAGAGATATACGGTTAAAATTTCCCATAACTTTTTTTGTGTCTCTGTTTCTTTCACATTCTTTTGATACATAACTATTTACAATACACTGTGTGTCTGTTCCCTAGGGGAAGTAGTTCATTTTCCCTGGGGGAAGTAGTTCATTTTCCCTGGGGGAAAAGTTCATTCCCCATGAGTCTCAATGTTTCACTTAAGAAAGCATAAATAATGTTAGAAAACCCAAACTAACTGTTTCCCTTGGGAACACGCATTGAGGGTAAATTGTTTAACTTACCCTTTGCCTTTCATCCACAAACTGTTTGAGGTTTTGCTTGTCTAGCTCTCTCTGTCTCCTGAGAAAAGGAAACAAGGTAAGTCTTTACTACAAAATAAATGCCCCAAGACAGGATATTATGTTCTTGCCATCTTAATACTGCCCATGGCATGTTTATGGCAATAAACTATAAACACCCAGACTGAAAAAGTGACAGGGGAGGGGGGGGGGGCAGGGGAGAGTTTAGAGATAGGAGGATGAAGATTTTTCTTTCCTCCATCTTGTTTAAATGTTTCACTTTGCTGGGTGATGAAGTTCATTAATTAGACTGCCAGGAGAAATTTTAATTGAGGTAGTTCAAAGATAGCACTCCATATCCTACCATTGTAAGTATGTAACCTGAAGTGCCCGCTGTGCTTTACCAAGAGATTTAAGTGCCTGTTGTGTTTTATCAAGTGATTTTTTGGCCAAATCCAGCTGACAATCACTACTTTTCATCCAGTGAATTTTGTCGGCAACCCCGAGATTGGCCCTGGAAAGCCACATTAGGGGAGTGGTCGATGAAAATTTATTATAATATAAGCTCGATGTTACTATAATAATCAATATGTCTCCCACCCTTAATAGCAGTCTGGTTTGATAATAACTAAAGGAAAATTAATCATACTAATACCTGTCCCTTTCCTCTTTAGATTGGATATTTTTGTCCTGTGCCAGGGCTTTGGCAGATTCCATTGACTGCTTTGTCTGTTTCTTTGTTATCTCACTGTTTTCCCTATAAAAAGAAAACAAACATACAAAAAAAAACAAAACTTAAGATATGCACCTTTAAAGGAAGTTCCCTCACAAATTCCAGTCAGATGTTGATATGACAATATGTATTTCTGTGCCTTTGTTTGATGAACGTTTTAAAAATTCTACAAATACTTACTTTTCGTGTCTTGCCATAACTTCTTTTACTTGAGTTTCATGGACAGAATCCATCACTTTCTTCAACGTCTCAAGTTGCTGTAAAAATAATTTAATTTAATTTTCTCTGGAAAAGATTAAAACTTAACTTCACTGCAGTTGTGGGAAAGAAATAAAATGTAATATTAATGATTCAGTTGTTCCACACTCTTAAAATATTCAACTGGTTCATGCAAATAGCTCAAACTGACAGGAAAGTATTGGGTTCATGACCCATCCCTCCTAGTGGATGTGCTAATAGCATTGAAATCATCCATATGAAGGTTTCAATCGATGGTTGCCATTCCCACTAACTACTCCCCCCCTCGCCCCCGCCCCCCCAGCTGAGGCAAGAGAGGTAGGAAGGAGGGGTGAGTGGAAAAAAACTGGGTTCCCTAACTATGACTGGTTTGCCATTGGGTCTTAGAATTGATTAAAGGTGCTAATTTTTCATGCATATGCCATTATACAAGTTGAATACAACATCACTTCTTGAGATATTTTGCTGTAATTACATTTTGGTAATTAGAAATTTGTTGAAGGATTTCAGAACTGTTCTCTGGAATGATATGATGTGACGACTCATCAAGAAAAGCTTCAAAAACAAATTATTCGTACCATATCTGCTTGTGGTTCATAGAGAGCAATCTCTTCCTCAACTTGTCGGTTAATCATGTTTATCCACTCCTCTGTCTGGGCAGTTAATTTTTGCTTTGCCTGAAAGTTATTAATAATAAACATCAATGATTCTGTTCACTGTCATAACGATACTATGAAAAAACACTTTTGTTTGTTTATGCTCTTCACTTAGTACAGATTCTATTTCATACCATTATTTAGTGGGTAAGCGGGTTGGTCAGCCTATACATTCATTCACAGATAAAACAGTCTCATCAGATTTCAGTCTGTCTGTCTATCTTTCTGTCTGTCTATCTAACTCTCTATCTGTCTGTCTAGCTGCCTTCCTGTCTGCCTGTCTGCCTGTCTCTATCTCTCTGTGTCTGTCATCTGTCTGTCAGTCTGTCTGTCAGTCTGTATGTCTGTCAGTGTGTCTGTCAGTCAGTCTGTCTGTCTGTCTGTTGCAATCTGTCTTTCTGTCTATTTATCTCACTAACTGTCCTTCCTATAGTTTATAGTCTAGTGCTGTCACACTTCAGTTTTCTATTAATGCACCACCCTTGACTTAGATGTTTCTAACAACCTATAATTATTAATCAGGTTTGTATACATGACTGTTATCTAATAACTTATCAATATCAAGTATTTCCTTTACCATGTCAGTTTGAGTCTTGTTCAGATAAAGCATCTTGTTCTCATGAACTCTTCTCAGCTCCTCTGACCTTTCTTCTCTGCAAAAATAATTATAATAATAATAATAATAATAATTGTAGTGATAGATTTAAAACGTACACAATTTTAAAAGCTGTTTAAAAAGAAGATATGTAGTTTTCTCTGCACCACTATTCAGTATAACGTTGCTTCCTTACTTATTTACCCACATCGATCTTACTTACCCACATCGTTTGAGTGCTCGCTCATGTGTTTTTATGGCAGTCACTTTAATCTTTTCATAGTTTGTTATGAGCTTTTCAAGTTCTCCTGTGTGAATCCTTTGCATGGCTGTACGCTCCTACAAGGTAAGAAGTTAATTTATCATCACCATCGCCAATCCCCTTTGGCTTTCTTTCATTCAGTGCCTTACTTTCACCCAAAACAATCTTTCCTAATTCCTCAAAAATTTCCAAATAATTAAGCATTTGT